AAAAAAAAAAAAAAAAAAAAAAAAAAAAAAAAAAAAAAAAAAAAAAAAAAAAAAAAAAAAAAAAAAAAAAAAAAAAAAAAAAAAAAAAAAAAAAAAAAAAAAAAAAAAAAAAAAAAAAAAAAAAAAAAAAAAAAAAAAAAAAAAAAAAAAAAAAAAAAAAAAAAAAAAAAAAAAAAAAAAAAAAAAAAAAAAAAAAAAAAAAAAAAAAAAAAAAAAAAAAAAAAAAAAAAAAAAAAAAAAAAAAAAAAAAAAAAAAAAAAAAAAAAAAAAAAAAAAAAAGAAAAAAAAAAAAAGAATTCTTACACCGAGCATTGGGGCAAAGTAGTGGGATTGACTTTCACTATTGCAGTGATTGTTACTAAGTGAAAAGCCTCGATGTAAATTAATGTTGTTGCTTAAAATTATTGGGCAAAGTAATGGAGTTGACTTTCACTATTGCAGTGGTTGTTACTAAGTGAAAAGCCTAGTGAATAATAAAGCTTATGTTGCTTTGGTGTTGGAATTCTGGAGAGATATGACTTGCGCTACATATACATATATATAATAATACCGCCTCTGTTTTGTTCCTTGGTGTGTTTGTAGCACAATGTTGATTTTAGATTAATTATGCATCAATCCTGCCTAAGTAGATTAAGAAAGGATTTTATTGATTTTAGTGTCTTGCATGCGCTTTTATTTTTATTTTTTCATCCTTAGGCATAATGCATGTGATTTCCTTCTTGAGTGAATTACTTGGACGCTAAAAAATGTGAGGGACTTTATTTTTGGATGATCAAATCTTATTCTTCCTAATTTTGAATTAGTTGGACATGTGTGTTAGTATGTTAATGGGTTTGTGTGTTCAGTTTTGATGGGGATGTTCTTGTTGCATGGTATTCAACCTTTCCCTTGATATTTTTTTTGCGAACCTCACCCATCACGTCCTCACTATATATCTTCATTTTCAAAACCTGAGAACCCCATTTTTATTTCTCTTTCTCTTTGAATTTTTCTTTTAACCATTTGTGTTCCTGCATCATTTTCTAATGTGCTTCTGAAACACTTTGGATGATGGCAAAAGCCTAGAGAAGAGATGGATAGTCTTCAATGATTAGAGATCAGTCAAGCAACGACTTTCGTCTTCGATTATATTTTTCTTTTTCTCTCATTCGATGTTATTACTCAGGAGGAGATTTGCCTTTGGTATTTCAGTCTAAAAAGGGAGAGAAATTGGATGTTTCTTAAGATGTTGGGGACAATGTTCTAGTTGTTTGCTTCTGATTATATTGGGTGTTGTTTTTGACATGTTTATGCATGATGTAAGAACGTCTATGTCTTGCTGCTTGATTGTTTTGACTATTCTGACAGGGGGGATAAATTAGGTTCTGATAGCTTGATGTGTTTTGATTGCTCTGATTATAGTCCTCTTAGTTGCTTTGATAGGAATTACCATCGTCGTTTCTTCACATGGAGGACGGTGGAAAAAGAACACGGGTACAGGCCCTTCAGCATCCCGTAGTTCGAAAAAGGGGGAGATAGAGGCAAAGATGGTCAAGGATGATGCTGAGAAGTCAGAAGGAGATTCAATAACTGAGAAGTCAGAGGGAGATTCAATAGCTGAGATTGGTTTTTTTGTTAGAACCTCTTATGACTTTTCTTTTATGTGGCTGCTGTTAGTACTTGCTGTGATTGGTAGGATGTTTGCTCTGACTGTTTTATGCTATGTGCGTCTAATGAGTCATGACTGCAGGTACTTTATGGACTGTGTTCTTACTCAGTCACTATTTGCGATATTCTTACTGCAGTGATTTGTTCCTTATGATATTATTCTGCATATTCGTGCTTGCTGTTCTAACTGTGTTTCAGGTTATCTTCATTATATGATTTTCGAACTAGATGCCAAAGGGGGAGATTGAAAGAGTTATATTTTTGGCAATGAAGTTCAAAAATTAATATAAGTGAAGATATATTTTTGCAAGCATGAAAAATAAAAAGGGAAGTTCTTTTATTTATATTTATATTTATATATTCGAATTTATTTATATTTATATTTATATATTCGATTTATATACATATATTAGATTTGCATGATCTTATTATGGATATATTTTGTAGGAAATCATATAAGAAGGAAAGATCTTTGGAAAGAGAAGATAGAGATCTACACCTACCATATCTCTTATGATTTACATGGAAGGAAATTGGATTAAAGAAGGATTGTTTGAAGTGAGAGAAAGAAGAGTCCTAAACTTGGAAGGAAATCAAAAAGGAGTCTTGTACTTGGAGAACACTCCACCCTAAGGAGATTGTATATATATACCTGCTTGAAGATCGAATTTGGAGAGCTGAGAGCATTATTTTATATTCCATATTCGAGCTGCAAGCTTTTTGTGTTTTATTTTCGTTGTTCAGTTTTCGGTGTTCTTACGTCATCGAAGAACTGAAGTCTTTTCTTTTGATTCTTTTGTTTTTCATTCAAACACTTGTGTGATCAGTGCTTAGGGATTAAGTACTGTCTTTAGCTCGAGGGATTCGAGAGGTAAAATCCACCGGACGTGGTCGGAGAAGTAGTTGATAGAATCGTGTGTAGTTGTGGCTAGGCTAGAAGGGAGTTCGAGTCGTGTAAGTCCAAACTATACAAGTGTGCACAAACGGTTTATTAATGAAAGAGCTCTGAGGGGAAGTGAGACGCTTCCCTGAAGAGTTTTTAAATCTTCGGTTTATTGCTTCCGCTATTCTAGTTGTTTATTTGTGTTCTAACAACGTTGAGCGCACTCGTTACAAAATACCTACGTTTCAAAACCATTAAGATTTGACGGTCGATTGGTTATTGGTGGTGAGCGAGCAATCAAGCTTTTCACTTCATTTTATCCTTCTCCATTCAAAATTAATCAAGACACCAAACCAAAGTCATAATTCATTCAAGATTAATCTAAAAAACATAAAAGAAAATAAACTAAGAAAGCGTTGTTTTCTAAAAAATACTTGTTTAATGCCATTACCTGGACGAACGCAAAGTTGAACTCAGTCGGGATCCAAAACATAAGAGGCAATTGTGCAAAAATTTAAAAATGAAAAAACTCAAAAATAATGGTTTATAAGGCTCAAACAAAATTTCTCTCATCACAGTACATCATTATTTAATGTATATTATAAACTTTGATAGTGAAATTCAATTTTGAGATGAAAGAAAAACCATCATTATTTAATATATATTATAAACTTTGATAGTGAAATTCAATTTTGAGATGAAAGAAAAACAACTGAGAGGACAATCATTCAAAAGTGAAAAAACTCTTAAATAATAATTAAAATGACTAAATTTTTTTCAAAGATACTTAGAATAAGCACATGAGCATAAACTATTATAAATTTAGTCCACTATTTGAAAATTGAATGAGTATATTGAAGATAATAATGCGTACATAGCTGTTTTTTTTTATTTATATTATTTAATATTATTGGCATTAAAGATTCATATTATATTTATTGAAAAATATTTTTAGTTAAAAATTTATATTACGTTTATACCTTTTATCTTTTTATTTTTAATTGAATATTTATATGTGAGAAAGACTAATACCCTTTTTTATTATGTATATAATATCAGACTTTGATGGTGAAAATTCAATTTTGTGACGGACAAAAAAATGACTGAAAATGCGTGTACACTAGTACACACAAATATTCAAAAATGAAAAAAAAAAAAACTCATAAATAGTGGTTAAAAAGGATCAAACAAAATTTCTTTTGCCATAGTACATTATTATTAAATGTATATTACGAATCCTGATAGTGAAAATTCAATTTTGAAACTGGAGAAAAATGACTGAAAGGGCGTGCATAGTTGTTCACTAAAAAATTCAAAAACGAAAAAGATCATAAATAATAGTTAAAAAGGCTCAAATAATTTTTCCCCCGCACTACATCATTATTTAATGTATATTACAAATGATGGTAAAAATTAAATTTAAAACGGAAGAAAAAAACGACTGAACGGGTGTGTACTTAGTACACGGAAAAATTTAAAATAAAAAAAAACTCATAAATAATGGTTAAATAGTGTCAAAATTCAATAATGAAATAAAAGAAAAACTGCTGAAAGGGCGTGTACTAAGGTACATGAAAAAATTCAAAAAATGAATAAATTCATAAATAATGATTAAAAAGACTAAAAAAAAAAAAAATTATTTGGTCACAATACACTATTATTTAATGTATATTATAAACTTTGACAGTGAAAATTTAATTTTGAAGTGGAAGAAAAAAGACTGAAAAAATGTGTACTAAGGTACACAAAAAAATTCAAAAAGGAATAAACTCGTAAATAATGTTAAAATAGGTTCATACAAAATTTCTTTTGTCCAAGTATACCATTATTAAATGCATATTACAAATTCTAATGGTGAATATTCAATTTTGAAATAGAAATAAAACAACTACTGAAAGGTCATGTACAACTGTGCATTCAAAAATTCAAAAACGAAAAAACTTATAAATAATGGATAAATGGATAAAAAGGCTCAATAATTTTTTTTTTCTACAATACACCATTATTTAATGTATATAAAGAGCTTTGATGGTAAAAAATTAATTTTGAAACAGAAGAAAAACGACTGAAAGGGCGTGTACAAAGGTAAATGAAAAAATTAAAAAATAAAAAAAAATCATAAATAATGTTTAAAAAAGTCTCAAATATTTTTTTTTACCACAACACACCATTATTTAATGTATATTACAAATTTTGATAGTGAAAATCTAATTTGAAATGGTAGAAAAACGACTAAAAGAAAAAACTCATAAATAATAGTTAAAAAGTCTTAAATAAATTTTATTTTGCCACAAATACACAATTATTTAATATACATGAAGAATAGAGGCGATGCCGGCCAGGGCCTACAAGGGACGAAGCGTTGAGTCTCAGGAAGCTAATAGAATGAAATATGAAGTGAAGTGAGGGAAGGAGAAATTACCAAGGCTAAGTGGTACATAGCGAAGGAAGCTCGGGTTTGTCTGTCTTTCTAGCGAGAGGTTTCCCCTTCGGGGTAGATGGAAAGAAAGTAAGAGGCCGCTGAGCTGATGTCCTTATTGCCTGCAAAGGACTTCGGTTGCTCCAAAGCTGTTTTCGGGAAAGTCTCCTTTGCAGGCGACTTTCCACTCTTCTTCGGTTGCGATGCATCGCCGCCTTGCTTTTTCGACGAAGTTTTGCCGTCCTTCGTCGTCTTGCGACGTTTTCTCTTGGATTGTTTTTCGGGAGGAACCCGGTATGGAGGGCGTTTGCCCTGGGTGCTGGGCCTCTCTAAGTCGATGACAGGCTCGGGGTTTTGAGGGGTCGGCGTCAAGTTCTCTGTTGCTGAAGGAGTGGCAAGGGCCAAGCTAAAAATAACTTCTGCATATCGTACGCAATTACAAGTGCTGTTAGGACATAAATACAAGAATGTGAAAAATAGCGGGTAGCCAGCTCGTCACTACCATGCCTACCTATGTCAGTCATGGGAGAAGTCGAACAGTTAGACAACCTGAAGTGGCGAAGAAGCCGCGCGTCAGAAGTAACGATATAAAGGGAACTAAACTAACCCGTTTTGGCAACAAATTTAGTGGGGACGGTAAGAAATTCGGAAGCCCCAGGATCGCCGTCTGACCTGAGAGTCTGCCACCCTCCTCCTATCCAAAACCAAGAATTCTTTTATTTGATGATCGTCTCCGGCACCTTTGTGATCAAATCTTTGAACGTGGCATCCCGGACCGAAACAGAGAACTAGCCATACTTCTTTCGGGTCTCTTTGAAAAGGAATAACGCCCTTATGTCATCGCAGGTCGGAAACTCCTAGCCTTGCTCGTGGAAGAGTACGAGCAGACTTATTATTTTCAGCCATGCTGTTGTGTACAAATTGTTATTTTTACCGAGTACCGAATCGAAGGATTCGTTCCCCGGGTCGATCTCACAAGGAAGGCGGTTCGGAATTTAGCTTCGGTATTGATTTCACACAAAAAGACAATAAAATCCTAAACACTCTAATCAAATAAGGGGGGTTGAATAGTTATTAACTAAGAAATAAAATAAACAATAATCTACCTAAAAATATAAATGAAACAACGATAATGAAGCTAGGGAGACGGGGATAATTAATTCAAATTCTATTTGCACACTAGGACATTAATCATTCTATTCTAGATTGACGCTCTCGCTTAAGCATCTAGCCATTCGCTCTCAATAACCCTTCGTAACAAGGGATTGAACATAGACGAACAAACTTGAGCAAACAACACAGGCCAATTATCCCAATCCCAATAACTATTCGTAACAAGGGACGAGTCACCGACAAGCACGTATTCAATCCAAACCTATAGACTATTCAATTACGAAATCATCTACCTCATGCGAGCCTAAGTCTACGAATTTTCCCCTTCGGTTCTAAAAGTCGCTAATTAAATTAGAAGAGAGTTAATCGACTAATCATATAGAATCAACAAAACCCTAACTCGACTAATCAACATTCAATTGTTTCCAATTGCATGATCGAAGTGTCACTCTTCGATTATATCAATCAATCAAACAAGATTTCATCAATTCGTAATCAAATCAACCGCACAAGAACGAACAATTGAAGCCCGACAAATACACGTTAAACGAGAACAATCATCCCCTATCACTAGCAATAAGAATTAGCTAAGTAATATCAATTCAACACAATCCATCATCTCTCTCAATTCAACCATTATTCATGAATTAAAAATAAAGAGAAGAACTTACAATAAAATGCAATTCCAAGTGTTGAATTTGAATTACAAGCTTAATCCTTGAATACTAATAAAAAGAAGAAGAAAAATGGAAAAGAAAGATGAAGAGAAGAGGAAAAACGAAGAAGAAGAAGAAGAAGAAGAGGAGGAATGAGAGGAAGGAGAAGAGGAAGAAGAAGGAGAAAAATGAAGGGGGGAGGCGATTTTCGGACCTAGGGTTCCTCCCCCTTCGAACTGATGGTGAAAGAATCGAGAAGAAAACGAGTTTTTTGGGTTCTTATACCATTCTGGGACTTGCAGGGGGCCTTAGCGCCACTAAGGGGGGTTAGCGCCGCTAAGGTGCCTTAGCCGTTCGAGCCAGTACCGTGTAGCGCCGCTATCCTGTGTGCCTTAGCGGCAATAAGGCAACTTAGCGAAGCTAAGGCTCTGGCAGCCTGCTGGACTTTGCTTCTCGGGTCCGTTTGGGCTTGTCCGAACTCGAAATTGAGTTTCGTTTTTTTCTACGCGTTGCTAACGAAGCCTTCTATGTAATTGTGCTTTTAAATCCAACTTATTCTTGAAAACATATTCTACCAAAGCTTTTGACTTGAAGGTGATGGCTTCCATGTGCGATTTCACATATCGGGCCCGTCCGGACTCGTCCGTACTCGAAATCGAATTCCGCTTTTTCCTACTTGTAGCCAACGAACCCATCTATCTAACCATAATTTCCTGGTCTGTTTCGAGCTAAATTATGCCTCACGGGCTTCTGACCTGCACACTATAAACCAGAAGAAAAATGGAAAAAACATACGAAAAACACAAAAAGAACCAAAATAAAGGGAAACACGCGATAATCAACAAAATGAACTACAAACCAACAAAAATACCTAAAATGGGGGAAAAAGAACAACAAAACAATATGGAAAAACGTAACAAAAATGGGACAAACACATGCGATTGGGGATATCTGAATAAAACCGATTCCCCAGTCGTGGAGATACTCGGACAAGATCCGGGGCAATGGAAAGCGGAGACCGAATTCTATGGATCATTCGGCGACCCCAACGTACCCGGGAGGCGGACAGTGGATCCGTTCCCGTCTATATGGAGCAAACATTCAGAATCCCCTGGGCAATCAGATGGACATGCGCAGTTTCACTACTTTGTCATCCGTCATATCGCTCGGGAGTTGTTCTGGGTCGGCTACTCACGATACGGTCTCCTCCAGTAATCGGTCGGGACACCCGAAATCGACTGTTCGATTATCAAGTCTTGATCCGGACTCTATGTAGGTAAAGGCAGCCTTATACGGCCCGTAGTGTCGCCTTGAAGGGCTTCCTCATACTTTTCTTCATTATAACTCTCGGACGATGTCGACATCTTTGATGTATCGCGAAGAGAAAAGAAGAGGGATCGTAGGAGAAAAAACTAACAAAGAAAGGAAACAGCCTTACCGAAAATTGTAAATCTGCGGGAGAACGAACGGATGGGAGCTCTGTTCGTGCTTGAAAGCACTGAAAAATAGAGAGATTTTAGAAGCAGAAGTAAGGAAAAGTTTTTGAAATAGGAAGATTGGTATTTATAGGTCTCGATTTCGGCGAATAAAGAGACACAATGATTCAAATTTGAAACGTTGCGGGAAAATGAAGCGTCCCTTATACGCCATAAATCCCGCAGGACCAATAAAATCGGCACACATCACAGGGTACAGTTATTGTCGGCCAGAAGTATTGAAGGGACGCACCTTTTCATGAATCGACTTTTAATTAATTCTTATCGGTTTGTCTGTCTCGGGTCGGTTAGGTAAGCAGCTTTGGGCAACACGTCTCCTCTCAGTCCCTTCCGTGCAGCCCGAACCTGGGGGCCTTTGTACGGGGTATAGACCGAACAAACAGAAAATTATATTACATAAAAGTCTATCTGGGTTCGCGTGGATAAACATGAGGGAGCGAATCGAAAACGGATCGAATGAAACGACGAACGGGCGAATTGTGGGAAGCGTGTAGACCAGAACTAATCATCATCAAGATTTTCCCGTACGATGCGCATTAAATGCTGCAAGATTCGGTAATCACCCATCTAAGGGTGTTTAGCAGGCAAGGACACGTGTCACAACCCGGTTGAATCTCTTGTATTTTATGAACTATATTGTTATTTGATATTTCTCATTTGGTATGATAAAAAAATTCAATTTTTATATATAAAGACATGTGGAATTATTTTATATTATATATGCAATATGGATATCAAATAAAAAAGTGTTAAAGATGGTATTTTTATTATATCATATATGAAAAAAAATACAAATAAAAAAGTATAATTTTTTAAAATAAGGAGAATAAATATCTATAATAATTAATATATGAAATAAATAATAAAAAGAAATGAAGTATATGGTAACTAATAAAAAGGAAAGATAATATATGGTAATTTAAGAAAAGAAAAGGTAAAACAATTTTATGGTAATTCCCTAACCTAGTTGTTAAACCTAACCTGTACATGTGTCAATAGGAATCATATATTTGTGCCATATAAGCTCCCGAAGCATGCATGTCTGCCATTTAGGCTCAGCATATTCGGGAATTATATATAAGGGCGATTATCTAATGTTTTCATGAGATACAAAAAAGATAATATTGACTTCAGAATAAATAGTTTGAAGAAAAAAAAAATTGAAATAGACTTGTTTAATACTTATATAATTTGTATTTAGTGTGATCTATTATTAGTTGGTGCATTAGTATTAACTATTATATAATATAATAGCAAAAATAGCATTAACTACTATATATATAATAGCAAAAATATTTGATTACACTTCATAGGATTTATCTATATATATAATTTGGAGCAACAACATTTAATTTTATTATCCTTCCAAAAATTTCAGCATTCAATTTTATTCATTTCAATTCCCGCCTAAAATTGTTACACATATTTTTTTATTTCAACATTCAATTAATATATTAATTGCATGTATTTTTCAGCTATATCATCCTATTATGTTAAAACATTTTTTTTTTCTTCTCCATAAATTTTAAATTTATTAGGTTCAATAAACTACAACCTCAAATTACATTAACATAAAATGTGTAAACATTGGTATATACTAATTTTAGTTGCAAAGGATTAAACAAGAAATTAAATTACAAAAGTACAAATTTAAACTAAAACAAATATTAATATCCAATTTGCGTTTGATATTGATATAGCCATATTATGATATACCGGTCCAAGTGCTAACTGCTCGACTGCGATGATGGATCGTCAACGTCAACATGTCGACATCTCCGAGTCGACACCCGTAAGTCAACCTCTCGACGGTCGATAGCTCTGCATGAGACATTTGAAGGTGAAAACCAGTTTGACCGAAGTCGATAATGTCAGAGTCGACTTCCCTAAGACGGCCCCCAAAGTCGACTTCCTCCCAGAAGACAAACAAGCGTAACCTCCGAATATTCACATGATCCTAAGTCGACCTCCCAATGCTTGAGGTCGACTTCTTACGCCTCGAGGCCCAAAACATAATGACGACTCAATATACTTGGAATATCACTTGAAGTCGTATATCCTCTAACGGATAAGAAGGAATCTTGTGATGACTAAGCAGAGAGGGGAGATGAACCGACCGGGGCATTTGAGGCATTTCAAGTAAGTCGACCAGGGCATTTTGGGTACTTCAAGTAAGTGTTTCCGCCTATATAAAGAGGGTGAGGTAACCCTAAACTCTAACTCCCATTCATTCCATACATTTTTCCTCTCCTGCTGTTGTTGCTCCCTGAGAACAACCTTCTTCATCTCTTTCACATTCTGACTTGAGCGTTGGAGGCTCTACACCGGAAACACTTCCGGCGTTGAGTTCTTGCAGGTGTTATTGAGGTCTAGCAACGGTTCGAAGGCGATTCAGACAGATCGGAGCTCATTACCACCGGTTCACTTCAGATCCAGAAGTAGACCCATTAGATATGGACCTGCAAAATAATGAATAATAAATTAATACATTAAGTATTACCTTCACAAATAAAAATTAACAAAAAAAAAAAAAAAAANGTGGAATTTGCATACTTTGATTTTAAAAAATTATTACACAAATACATAATACTCTTACATAATACACACATACCATGCATAATAATGATAATAAATGTAGCTGCTGAAATAAGGGCACTATTTTTATTTTTATTTTATTTTTTTTTTTTACTTTATTCTATTATCTTAAATCATGCCCAAAAAGCGTGTCAATTTGGAGATTTGCTTACTCTTATTTTAAAAAAATATTGCACAAACACATAATACTCTTATAATACACAACTATCATGCGTAATATATGATAAATGTAGTTGTTGAAATCAGGCCACTATATATATATATATATTTTTTATTATATTAAATCATGCCCAAAAAATGTGTCAATTTGGAGATTTGCATAATCTGATTTTGGTTCTTATTACAATTTATTTAAATCCTATTTAGAATTCATTGGCAAGATATTATAAATATCTACAACAACTCCTATTTATCGAACAACAAACCTCTTTTACTTTTTGAAAAATTTCAAGGCTCTAGAAATTGAACAACAATGGCTCAAAACTTTTAAAAAACTCTTCTTCTTCAATGAAAACATGAATAAGAAAATTGAGATAAAGCTGGTCAGATTTTACCAAAAGACTTCCAATGATAATTTGTACGTGGCTCTTTCTAGAGTCACAAATCGGAAGAGTTTGAATATAATGATATGTGGTGATGAAGAAGAGCAACAAAGCATTTTTTTTTATTACCATGCATTAAATTTTATTCTCATGCCTGGAACGGGCTAGCTCGACTAAATGGCCGTAGATTACTAATCTACATATATATATATATATATATATATATATATATAAAGAGGAGCAAGAAAGCATTTAATTTTATTACCATGCATTAAATTTTATTCTCCCTCCAAAATTTTCATAATTCAATTTCATTTTTAAGTTACAAAATAACTTGTTTGAATACCATAAATTATGAGCATAAATTAATCAAGGGATTTACAAAGTTGTACTCAAATTTTAAGTCACACCCACTCATGAAAATGGCCGGGTGTATTAGCATAAAGAAAATGGTTGTAACGGCTCCTCCATAGCAATTACTTGATCAAAATTAATTTTGAGAATTATTTTCTTGATTCATATTTTTTTCATGAATAAAATTATGATTTTTTCTTTTATACTTTTATGTTTGTAAAGTATTCGTCGCTGTGCAAATGCACATGTTGATTACTAGTATATATAAAGAGGAGCAACAAAATATTTAATTTTATTACTATGCATTAAATTTTATTCTCATACATTAAATTTTATTTTCCCTCCAAAATTTTCATAATTCAATTTCATTTTTAAGTTATAAAATAACTTGTTTGAATGCCATAAATTATGAGCATAAATCAATCAAGGGATTTAAAAAATTGTACTCAAATTTTAAGTCACACCCACTCATGAAAATGGCCGGGTGTATTAGCATACCAAATGGGTTGTAACGGCTCTTCCATAGCAAATACTTGATCAAAATCAATTTTGAGAATTATTTTCTTAATTCATATTTTTTTCATGAATTAAATTATGATTTATTTTTATTTTTTTTATATTTTTATGTTTTTAAAGTATTCGTCGATGTGCAAATGCACATGTTGATTACTAGTTAATATGAAAGGTAGAAAAAATATTAATGATAGAATTTGTAACAAAAAATAGATGGAAAAATCAAATAGTTTTATGAAATATATTGCCTACATAATTATATAGACATAGATTAGTATTGTTTTAAGTGGGCTTCGTATTAGACTGGATAATGGGCTAAGAGGTTCACTTGTGATACAAAAAATAAGCCCAAGATGAATTATTAACCAATAAAATATGCCCCAATGCTAAGAAGCCCAACATTAAGCTAGGTTTTGCCTCATTCTCCTTTAAATGCTCCCTTCGTTGACCGTGCAGCCCTTCTCTTACATCTCTCTCACACGCCCACTACGCCCACCTGAACCTCGATTTCCATCTCATCACGGACGAGGCCATCGGAAAGAAGAAGCTGAAGGTGGACGCCTGGTTTAGCAGCCGGGAAACAATCGCCGCCATTCGCACGGCGCTCAGCCACGTCACTAACCCAATCAACGGCGTCACGAAGGATTACCCTAAACCCTAAACCCTAAACCCTAAACCCTAAACCCTGAACCTTGAACCCTGAACCCTAGAACTCTAGAACCCTAGAACCCTAAACCCAGAACCCTAAACCTTAAACCCTAAACCCTGAACCCTGAACCCTGAACCCTGAACCCTGAACCCTGAACCCTGAACCCTAAACCCTGAACCCTGAACCCTCAAACCCTAAACCTTGAACCCTAAACCCTAAACCCTAAACCTCTAAACCCTAAAACCCTAAACCCTAAAACCCTAAAACCCTAAACCCTAAACCCTAAACCCTAAAACCCTTAAATCCTAAAACCCTAAACCCTCAAATCCTAAAACCCTAAACCCTAAAACCCTAAAACCCTGAACTCTGAACCCTGAACCACTGTGTCTTCATCATGATAATGACCTAAAGCCAAGGTCCCCACAGTATCATTTATCTGCTTAAACAAGAAAATGTTTAAATCATGTGACTGCAAGTACTGCAACCCATATAATAGCTCCAGAGACAAAGGCAGTTGGAGAAGACAGTATCAACTATTTGACAAACAGTAAACTTTATTCATGTATTAATGACCACAATAAACACAGAAATTTTTAACAGCCTGAATAAACACAAAAGAAACAAGTACGGCCAACATAACAAAGGAAATCATGAAAATTTTAGCAACTTAAACAAAATGGTAAGCTTGCTAGCATTAGTCAGTATTATATTGAACTCATGGACTCAGTTCTTTCCCTCAGAACAGATAAGAGGGCATAGAAATGGTATACAAAGTAATGTTAAATATTCAATAATAGATGCTTGAAACAATATTAAGATAATGAGACACTTCTAATACAAATTACAAATATTGGCAGCTACACTAGTAAACAACATCACGTGTTCTCACAAACTGCTCACAAGTCTATTAAGAATCGAGCAGACTATTTGCTCTTCATAAGTATTGCATAAACTTCAATACATAATTGAGATGTCAAAAATAAAATTAAGAGAAGCAATGATGATTTTATATAATGAAAAACAAATAAAAAAATGTGGTACGTGGGATAGAAACAAAGTTCTGTGCTTCTAGAGCAAGATCCCTACCAACCTGAAATAAACACTGTAGTCCATTACTTAGGCGCCCTCACCCACCCCAATGACACTAATGCATCATTATATCAATTAATAAAGATATCTTAACAAAATTAATCTTTTCTTGTCTTTATTACTGTGACTTATGAAAAAAATATGTAAATACAAAGTATGTATTCATATGCAGATTCAATGGGAGCAAAGAAAGTCAAGAAAAGCAAATCATCGGATGACTTGAAAAGAGCAAGAGGAAAAATCCTTCAATGATGTTGCGATATAATCAAAAAGCTCCTGGAAATGGAAATTTAATGAAATATTAATCAATTATATTTTTTAGTCCAGGAAGTGCCACATCTGAGAAGCCAAAATGCACAAGAATCAGCTACCTCACTTGTGCCAGTCATCAAATTTGAGGGATGGGCTGTCGTTCGACATCATGAATTATGGTAGTTGACCTTTGGCCACCTAACTTTACTCGCAAGACCCGGAAATCGGTACCGCCGAGATCTAGAGCATAATAAATCCCCTTTTCGTTCCTGGAACAGCATGTTTGCTACAATCGGTAAAGAGATAATACTTGGAATCTGATAAAAGAATCTAAAAGTCTCGCTACATTGAACAAAAATTTCTGAAAACGTAAAAGAATAAGCAACACAGATATGGAAACTGATCCTGAATTACAAGTCCAGAATCTCAAAGCATTTACACAATCATGGTTACCAGCTGAATCATATGAATCCAAGTATATCATAACAACTCAAAGCAACACATTCGATCTATGAGTAACAACTTGTGGTAATTGGATAACTATATATTTTTGTCACAGCAGAGTATCTAATAATCAAGAACACGATATTGCTTGCCATTGAAAAAACACACAGAAACTCGGGACAGCAATTCAAAAGAAGATAACACCAAATTTGACTAGTACTCATACATAAAATGTAGACTAAACAATAATCTTGATATTGATTATCTAAAGTTATAATGAAAAAAGTAATCGCATGGAAGGAAGGTGGAAAGACGGGAAAACACAACAAATATTATCATTAATGCGACACCTCATTTTCGGCGATTGGAAAACACGCCAATTACACCAAGGCAGTAAATTAATGAATTACCTAATTACCAAAAAAAAAACACGCCAATTTCAAACACTAGTAGCAACTCATATAAGCAATTCAACCTCAAACTACACAAAAACATTTAATTAAAACTTCATCCACCCAATCCTAATCAATCAACCAAATGAATGCCACCAATGAAACAACATTCACCTCCCAACTGCTGCACATATAAGTACAAACTTGGACTAAAACCAACCCCAAGATAATTAAATCATACATGCAATAGATGTTCGCCCACACACACACACACCAAATCTGAAGCACCAAGGCCTTACCCAGTAGGGAGGTCGCAGATATAGGTGAGAAGCATCTTCAGCTTTGACCCGCCTTCGGAGGCGAAGCCCGCATGCATCTCAACCGCCATAGCATCAACCACCTGGCGCAGCCGCCACACAGGGGTGGCGCATCCCTCATCCTGTCAAGAAGCCCTACCTGTACAAGGATAATGCTTTACACCTGGCCTGCCTTAATGATTCTTAAGAAATGCGGAATTCGCTATCATTCCAATGCAGTAGTGTTTTCAATGGTTTCAATCTGATCTTCATAAATATCAGAAAACTTGGCTCTAGAGTGGAAGCTTAGGAAATTTGGATTGAATCAAAAAGTCAATTCAATGAAGGGAATCCTGTTTTCTACCAATACCAAAAGAGAAGCAGCAAAATGCATACACGAGGCTGAAATTAACCCAAGTACAGAGAATATACTTATCTAGCCATTTCACCACACCAAAACAGCAACATAAAAAAATAAGGAAAAATGGCAACATAAAAACAGACCTCAACTCAACTTAATGAGCAATGTTGTGTAAGCCCTAGAAGCCATACTAGCAACCTCAGCTTGCATATGAATGGCCCTCTCTTCTGGGGAAGAATCCATGAGCCACATGATGACGGGGATGTTGTAGGTGACGCCCTGGAAGAAGATTGGGATGGTGCCGTGGCCTGGAGGAGGTTGACCGTCGTTGTGGGTGAAGACGGCGGTCTTGGGCTGCAGGGAGGGGTAGGTCTCGATGAGGTGCGTGCTGGCGGATGTGACACTTCTCCTCCACGTACGGCAGGACCGTCGGCACCCGCTGCGAGAGGACGCTGAAATGGGCATCCAAAATTTCCAGTTCCCACAAACGATGAACAGACGGAGCGTGTGGAACAGAGCCTCTGTTTATCTGTATATCTCGATTGCTGTTCGGATTAACAGGCGGCGCGTGTGTACACGAAATGCATCTTGTAACGGTAACCCTCCTGACGCCGTTGATCAGGTTAGTGACGTGACTGAGCGCCGTGCGAATTGCGACGGTTGTTACCCGGCTGCTAAACCAGGCGTTCACCTTCAGCTTCTTCTTTCCGGTGGCCTCGTCGATGATGAGATAGAAATAGAAATCGAGGTTCAGGCGGGCGTAGTGTGCATGTGAGAGATGTAGAGGCTATAGAGAGAGGGGGGTGTGCGGTTATGGCTGCACGCAGAGAGCATTTAAAGGAGAATGAGGCGAAACCCTAGATTAGTGATGGGCTTCATTTGGGGCATATTTTATTGGTTAGTAGCTTGGGCTTATTTTTTTGTACCTCTTAGCCCATTATCTAGAGTTTAATATGAATTCCACTTAATTGTTTGCTTCTAAATTTTTTTAGCGGTTAAATTATTACTAGTACGAATCTATAGGTAAAAAGTAGTAATTAATATTTATAAATTAAAATTATTCATTAAATAATTTTTATAAATTACAAATATAGAATCAATATATAATACATTTATATATTTACTTATATAAATTTATGGAAAATGTTATAAGAAATTTAAATTATGTAAAATTACATAAAAAATGTCTACTTAAAATTAGTACGCAACTCGTAGGGTGCTCGTAAATGATAATAAATTGCATTATATTCATTTCAAAATAAGTGTTAGTTTAAAAAATTTTATTCAGAAATTCGATTTGACTACAATGTGATTCTATAATTTATTATCACTTACGAGCATCCTACGAGTTGTGTACTAATTTGGATTGGGTATATACTCAGTGATTTTAATGTGCCATGAGCTCTACAGTTTCAGAGTTAATGTGGATTGGGTATATACTCAGTGATTTTAAGGTACTGGTTGCTTGTCATGTTCCATTAAGGTGTGATAACAAGGCGGCCCTACATATCTCAGCCAGATCAATATAGAAGAGATATTGGCAGACTTCTATATCTCAACCCCACTAGGCCTGACATCACTTATGCAGTCCAGCAGCTGAGGGATGCTGCCATGCATGTCCTAAGATATTTTAAAGGGACATCCTCTCATGGACTTTATTTCCTCATAACGGCCATTTTGTACTTAGTGCATGTTGTGATGCGGATTGAGCATCTTGTAAAGACACAAGAAGATCTGTCACTGGATTCTGCATTTTCTTAAGAGGATCACTAATTTCCTGGAAAACCAAGAAACAGCACACTGTTTCAGTCCTTAAAATCAACCAAGAAACAGCACACTGTTTCACACCTTAATGGAACATGACAAGCAACCAGTACCTTAAAATCACTGAGTATATACCCAATCCACATTAACTCTGAAACTGTAGAGCTCATGGCACATTAAAATCACTGAGTATATACCCAATCAACATTAGTACACAACTCGTAGGGTGCTCGTAAGTGATAATAAATTATAGAATCACATTGTAGTCAAATCGAATTTCAGAATAGAATTTTTTAAAATAACACTTATTTTGAAATGAATATAATGCAATTTATTATCATTTACGAGCACCCTACGAGTTGCGTACTAATTTTAAGTAGACATTTTTTATTTAATTTTACATAATTTAAATTTCTTATAACATTTTTCATAAATTTATATAAGTAAATATGTAAATGTATTATATATTGATTCTATATTTGTAATTTATAAAAATTATTTAATGAATAATTTTAATTTATAAATATTAATTAATTTACTGCCTTGGTGTAATTGGCGTGTTTTCCAATCGCCGAAAATGAGGTGTCGCATTAATGATAATATTTGTTGTGTTTTCCCGTCTTTCCACCTTCCTTCCATGCGATTACTTTTTTCATTATAACTTTAGATAATCATTATCAAGATTACAGGTTGTTTAGTCTACATTTTATGTATGAGTACTAGTCAAATTTGGTGTTATCTTCTTTTGAATTGCTGTCCCGAGTTTCTGTGTGTTTTTTCAATGGCAAGCAATATCGTCTTCTTGATTATTAGATACTCTGCCGTGACAAAAATATGTAGTTATCCAATTACCACAAGTTGTTACTCATAGATCGAATGTGTTGCTTTGAGTTGTTATGATATACTTGGATTCGTATGATTCAGCTGGTAACCATGATTGTGTAAATGCTTTGAGATTCTGGACTTGTAATTCAGGATCAGTTTCCATATCTGTGTTGCTTATTCTTTTACGTTTTCAGAAATTTTTGTTCAATGTAGCGAGACTTTTAGATTCTTTATCAGATTCCAAGTATTATCTCTTTACCGATTGTAGCAAACATGCTGTTCCAGGAACGAAAAGGGGATTTATTATGCTCTAGATCTCGGCGGTACCGATTTCCGGGCCTTGCGAGTAAAGTTAGGTGGCCAAAGGTCAACTACCATAATTCATGATGTCGAACGACAGCTCATCCCTCAAATTTGATGACCGGCACAAGTGAGGTAGCTGATTCTTGTGCATTTTGGCTTCTCAGATGTGGCACTTCCTGGACTAAAAAATATAATTGATTAATATTTCATTAAATTTCCATTTCCAGGAGCTTTTTGATTATATCGCAACATCATTGAAGGATTTTTCCTCTTGCTCTTTTCAAGTCATCCGATGATTTGCTTTTCTTGACTTTCTTTGCTCCCATTGAATCTGCATATGAATACATACTTTGTATTTACATATTTTTTTCATAAGTCACAGTAATAAAGACAAGAAAAGATTAATTTTGTTAAGATATCTTTATTAATTGATATAATGATGCATTAGTGTCATTGGGGTGGGTGAGGGCGCCTAAGTAATGGACTACAGTGTTTATTTCAGGTTGGTAGGGATGTTGCTCTAGAAGCACATAACTTTGTTTCTATCCCACATACCACATTTTTTTATTTGTTTTTCATTATATAAAATCATCATTGCTTCTCTTAATTTTATTTTTGACATCTCAATTATGTATTGAAGTTTATGCAATACTTATGAAGAGCAAATAGTCTGCTCGATTCTTAATAGACTTGTGAGCAGTTTGTGAGAACAACACGTGATGTTGTTTACTAGTGTAGCTGCCAATATTTGTAATTTGTATTAGAAGTGTCTCATTATCTTAATATTGTTTCAAGCATC